TACGCCCATTATTTGCTACAAGTACTTGAATTGCTTTATTTTGTGTAGCGTTGGATGACTATCCTACTGATACAGATATAGATATTTCTCATCAAAATTGCTTTCATGCATATGATGGTCGAAATCGATGGTTTGATAAAGCAATTCAAGTACTTGTAGCAAATAATGGGCGTAGTGGTGTTAGTGGTGAGGTATGGTGACTCAATTAAATTCATATCTTCATATAATTCATTAATACTTAAAAACTTAAAGTACCTTATCAAATTGATAAAATAGCATTCACCTTCAGATGCTGTAATCCCAGGTCGGATATTCGATTATATTATTTCAAAGTGAGTAAAAATTAAAAAAGTCAATGAAATAAATATTAGATAATTATTGTTAATATCTTTTGTTAAAAATAAAAGTGAACCAGCACAAGATCCACCAAATGCATCTCCCATTGAGTTATCATCTCCTCAATACTTGAAATGGGTTGTTGATAATTCTATAATGAACACTATTCAACAAGCGCAAATCAATATTCAAGCTGCAATAGATAATCTTGATAGTGTTTTATTGCACTACAATGAATATGGTTCCGAGTGGCTAAAAAATGGTAATATATATATTTTTTTACTTATTATTTTTCTCTAAAAAAAAAAAATTTATTGACACAATTATTTTTATTTATTATAGCTAAGGTCAGTCCTGATGCATTTGTTCAGATGGCAATGCAACTTGCATATTATAAACGCTATGGTGAACCATGTGCGACTTATGAATCTGCTTCTACTAGAGCTTTTTTACATGGTCGTACTGAAACTACGAGAACTTGCTCTGTGGACACTGTTGCATTTACCAAAGCTTTTTATGATCCAAATGTCAATGTAAGATAATGTTGCTTTCACTTGACTTTAAATTATATTGATGTGGTATTTAAATCAATATTGTTATTTTATTAATAGAAAGATGAAAAAATTTCTTTACTTATGAAAGCTATTAAATCACATACTGAGTATATGATTTCTGCTTCTAATGGTACATGGACTCATTTTTAATTATTTTGATCTACTGATGATTGATCTATATATGTTTTTTTCTTTATTAGGTCGTGGAGTAGATCGTCACCTTTTAGGTCTTCGATGCCAAATCCGTGATGAAGAAGAAAAATCTAAGGCAACATTATTTAAAGATCCTTCATATGTTCAATCTATGTCCTTTAAACTTTCTACTTCAAATATGAGCCCTGCATTTGGTTTTCATTGTGGTTTTGGTGCTGTAGTTCCTGATGGTTATGGAATTTGCTATGCTATTGGAAAAGACAAATTGAAAATTAGTATTAGTAGTTATAAAAAATGCAAAGAAACTGATAGTACCAGTTTTAGAAGCATTTTGAAAGCGTCATTGAACGATATGAGAGATATTTTATCATAATAGACTTAGGAAACCTGACTATAAATTTAAATTATTTATTTTGGTTTTGATTAATTATGATCTTATAAAAAATTTTTTTGTGTATTTGATTTTTTATTAGGGGCAATAAATGACAATGTGTATTATGATGAATATGGAGATATTCGATTGACCACAATATGTGTATGTATGATATGTGTATGCAAAAGTTATGCTAAGCCCTTCTTGAACATTAACTAGCCATAGTATTATTGCGAAATAAGCGAAATAACGTATGAGTGAAACTTAAAGCTAAATATTTTTCTATAAATATATGCACATTATATGATACTCTAATCTTTAGTTCTACGTATCAATTCCTAAAAAAAGTCCGAGAAATCTAACTACAATATGCAGATGAATTCTACTCTCTATCATATACAGTCACATCTTCATAAGTATACCTCTATATCGATATGCGCACAATTACCTGATCCCAAGTTATTTTGAGTCCCAGGCAATGTGAATGATTGATAATGTTATACCAGAAATGTAATTTCTTAAAATTTCGAATTTTTAATGATCAAAAATGACATTTATTTATGAATGATGAACTGGAATTTCACGTAATGGGTGAATACAATGGCATAATATTTATGATCAAAAATAACGTAATAGAAACACAATTTTTTGTGATTTTATATAATGACGACTAATTACATAGAAGAATTAAAACATA